ACTTTTGGTTTTGTTGATTCTTTCTATTGTTTTTCTGTTCTCTATTTCATTTATTTCTGCTCTGATCTTTACTATTTCCTTTCTTCCGGTGGCTGTGGGCTTTTTTTTGCTGTTCTATTTCTGTTCCTCACAGCAACCTTTTGACAACCTTATGAGCTAGGTGGCCTTATCTCCATTTTGCAGATGAGAAAATCGGGACTTAGAGGTTAGTAAGTCATCTTAATTTAAGGCTGGTCAACGGCCAGCCGGGTCACGACTCTGCCTGCTGGCTGTCTGACTTCATGTCTCATTAACTCAGCCACTGCACAGCTCTTTCTCCCAGGTGAACCTATTTTCTGTTCTCCAACCCCAGTGACACAGCTCCATTGAAGCACATAAATGCCAGAGGTCAACACCCTTTAACAACATAGGAACAAGTTAGATGCTTTTGTGGCCCAAGAATGGAGAGGTAGGGACATAAAATCCCCATACCCAAATGAGGTAGTTCAAGGAATACTTTTTCAACAAGTCAAGGGAGACTTCTTGGAAGAAAGGGGGATTTCAAGAGCTACTTGAGTTACTGGAGAAGAATTTAGTGGTTAAGAGAAGGGGGGTGAATATGACTTAGGTTAGAGGAAATTTGAGAGGTATAGGAGAACTTGGAGCAAGTTTACAGAGAGGTAGCCCAGAAAAAGAGTGAAGGTGTTCAAAGGTGTTTTCAGCCCTCAGGTAGCACTTTGGTTTTAGCACATCCATGTTTGTGTGGATCAGGATGGTTTCATGTGACTTAGCTTGTCTCCCTCGCTTTAAATGCAAAAGGAATATTAGCAACTAGTTTGGTTTTACTAAGACTTTCTATATCAGTGTACTATGAAAGTGGCATGTTCTAGAAATGACTTGGGCCTTGCAAAACAAGAATCATTGCTGGAGGCGCAGTTCACTGAGTCAGTCTCCTGTCTTGTCATCCTGCATGCAATTTCTTTTTTTTTTTTTTTAATTGTACTTTAGATGAAGGTTTACATAACAAACTACTTTCTCATTAAACAGTTAGTGCACATATTGTTTTATGACATTGGTTAACAACCCCATGACATGTTAACACTCTCCCTTCTCAACCTTGGGTTCCCTATTACCAGCTTTCCTGTCCCCTCCTGCCTTCTAGTCCTTGCCTCTGGGCCAGTGTGCCCCTTTAGTCTCATTTTGTTTTATGGACCTGTCTAATCTTTGGCTGAAGGGTGAACCTCAGGAGTGACTTCATTACTGAGCAAAAAGAGTGTCTGGGGGCTATACTCTTGGGATTTCTCCAGTCTCTGTCAGGCCAGTAAGTCTGGTTGTTTTTTGTAAGTTAGAATTTTGTTAAGTACGTTTTTCTCCAGTTTTGTCTGGGACCCTCTATTGTGATCCCTGTCAGAGCAGTCGATGGTGGTAGCCAGGCACCATCTCGTTGTACTGGACTCAGTCTGGTGGAGGCCATGGTAGTTGTGGTCCGTTAGTCCTTTGGACTAATCTCTTCCTTGTGTCTTTAGTTTCTTCATTCTCCCTTGCTCCCAAAGGGGTGAGACTAGTAGAGTATCTTAGATGGCCGCTCACAGGCTTTTTAAGACCCTCAGACGCTACTCACCAAAGCCGCATGCAGTGTCTTAAAGGGAATTAGCAGAAAAGATTAAATGTTCATTCTGGATTTGGGACAGAGTGGTGCTGTGTGCTTCTGTTTTAATAATGGGCTGTGGCATATTATGCTACTAGTTGCATAAGAATATCAGAATGTGTTTTTTGAAAAGCTATAAATTTCAACTGGTTTTTAGTCAAGATTAAGTGTCTAAAATAAAGCAAATATATTTTATTTAATACATACTAAAAATAATTATAACTTTATAGAGTGAAACTTACCTACATTTTTGTCATTAAACATTTATCTAACGGTACTATTATAAAGATTGTTGTATGGATTTATAAACTGCTCTCTCAGAGTCTAAAAAATACAGTGAATATTTGATTTGTGTACCTCTGTTGGAGCTGCAGTTCTAACAATTTAGCTTTGCATTAAATACTAGTTGTGTATTTTTATATAGTAGGGTCATCGTGCATTTTGTGTACTGATGTCATCTTATTTTCTTTTTACCCACATTTTTTATTCAGTTTTATTGTATGCCTCATTGTAAAGCTTTTTTTTTTTTTTTAAACCTGATCAGGTTATAAATACATAACAATAAATATTTTATGAACAGAATCGGGATCTTTAGATTACCTATTTGCAGTTTGGCTAATGAAAGCCCAAACCCAGTTGCTGTTGAGTCGATTCTAACTCATGATGACCATTGTTGTGTCCGAGTAGAACCGTGTTCTATAGAATTTTCAGTGACTGAGTTTTTAGAAGTAGATCACCAGGCCTTTCTTCCAAAGCCCTTCTGGATGGACTCAAACGTCCAACCTTCGATTAGCACCTGTGTGTGGTAACCATTTGGACCACCCAAGGATAGTGAAAGTGTCTTTTTGTTGTCAAGGCACATAAACTCATAGACAAAGTTAGTGCTTAAACTGGTCATCGTGTCTTTCATCAGTGTTTTCACCATGACTGTATCCCACCGGTTTTGTTATTGCAGTTGTTGTTGATATTGCTCCTGTCAAGTTTTTCTTCAATATTCCTGTCCCACCTGCCTACAAAACCCTCTAGCTAGGCCCAAATCCCTGGAAACCAAGACCACTGCCTAGACTCTTACCTGCCAGAAAAGGCCCACAAAAGGACCCATCTTGGAGATTTCCAGGGAGCGGCTAGTGGATTAGAACTAATGACCTTTTTGTTAGCAACCATAGCACGCCATAGCTCTTAACCACTGCACCACCAGGGCCCTGCATCATGGAGGTAGGAAGAGTAAAACAGGGAAAAATGGGGTCAAGGGTCACAGAAATCCAGGGAAGAACAAGAACTGTAATAAAAACAAAGAGATTGCTGGCAAGGTCAAATATTGCAGATATGTCAGAAGCATGAGTACTGAGAAATGGCTGCTAGATTTAGCATTTAGAAAATCATAAATGACCAGACAGAGAGTGTTAAGGAAGGAGTCAGAGAGACTTAATACTGTTGATTGATCCCCTTAACTGTCTCTTCATTGATGATCACAAAGTATCCTGGCCTCAGGGCAAAAGTGAAGCTTCTAAAGGCCATTCTTTAGGTCTTTCCTCAGCTTCCTTCTCAATTCTCTTCTGTAGG